CTTACCTATCATACAGTCTAGAAATGGGTAGGAAGTCATTTTTGTTAAAGTATACAAATGGTAGTTGAACTGGTAAAATATATTAATTAAGGCATTGCTTTATACGACTCCCGAAATGATGATGCAATATGATGTCCTTGCATAAGATTAATAAGTCTGGTGCAACTGCATGGTGTGTTTAAACGTTATGGTATCTAAGTGTCTTTGATCCGACGTTGACGAGAAAATTTTTGAAAACTTCGAAGTGGTTACACTGTCACACACATCGTCTTCGATCGATCTTCGATATATCATTTGGAAATTTCGATAGTAGCTATCCAAATTTTAATGCGCATAAAAGTAAGTGTATAATGCAAATTTGCTCCTAAACCTCTTATACGATTCGTATTTACGTTTAACACTATTTATTATTATATGGCTTTTCAAAATTCTCTATTCTGATTGGTTGACAAGCGGTCCGTAAAAACCCATATCCGGACCGTGGTCCGTATTTTCCGTATCTGGACCGGTGTCCCGGATGTCGTTTATCTGGCGGGAAATTTTTGCTTTGCAAACAGAAAAAAATTTTGCTTTTTAAATTTCCAATTGTGCTTTACAGATAAAAATTTCAAACAACCAAATTGTTTTTGATTGAGTATATTGTTACCCAGTGAAACTGACGATAGCCGATTTAATTCGCGCGAAAACCATACGCTCACAGACTCAGTTTAGCCATATAATAAACCGATTATTGACCTCACTTGTTCAGTCTGTACTGTGAAATATCAGACCTCTGTTTTTTGCATAGACCTCGCTCCTTCGTCGCTCGGTCCATACTAAAAAACCTCGGTCTGATATTTCACAGTACAGACCTCACGCTCGGTCAATAAGCCGTTAATACGTCATGTAGGAACCTTTATCAAACTCTACTTGGTATGTGAAAATATCACTGACCAAAATTATTTTTATTTTTGACACTAGTTTTAACCTGTCCGCCTAGAGTCTAGTGGCCAAAAGCTTGTATAGATTCTCCACTCAATTAAAACCATCAGACATATCTTTCCTTACACCTCGTAATTATTATTATCTTCTTATTAACCGAGCGCGAGATCTTTACAGAGAAATGTCGGACCGAGGTCTGTACAGACCGAGCCTGTAGGGCGAGGTTTGTACAAAAAGACCGAGGTCCGATATTTCTCTGTAAAGACCGAGCAAGCGAGGTTAATAAAAAGTTTATTATATGGCACTTGTAGGCATTTGTACTTGAAACAAACAAGAAATGCATGATTTGAAATGCATGATTTGAAATGCATATTAGGAGCGTGGTACACATTTGGTCGAAGAAAACAAAAAATACCAATGTATTCCTTTCCACTTAAACGGCATTCGCAGATATTTTATTAATAACAAATTAAATTATAATTTTCAAATTTTCAATTCAATTAGTTTTGCTGTTTTGTTTTAAAATGCATGCGTTTGTTTTTACGTAATGGACCGCCGGTCCACTACGGGAAAATAATGGATCGCTGAAAGTGATTCTCAGCCAATCACAGATTCACAGTCCGCCATTTCACCGGAAGTGATGCTTGCCATATAATAAAACTTTTAATATACCGTAGAACCTCTTTTTATAGTCTTGATAACTACTATTCCATTCTTTAACTTAAGAAATGTATTTTACGTGTGTATGCAGGATGAAACTTATATCTGACCGTGTTTAATTTAGCGAGCTTAATTAAGCAAGCGACGGTCAACACGGACACAGAATAGATACAGGACCAGAAGTGTCACTCAGACGATATTTTGTCCTGTGCTGAGTGCTGACGTGAAGATACGCCGCCATATGACGCCATCCTGGAGTGCACACGGAAGTTTTTCATAGGAAAACATAGGTACAAAGTGCCGGGTGCACTCCAGGATGGCGTCATAGCACGCAAAAAAAATTCGGACGTTTTCCTTCAGCCAAAACACATAGGAGTGACACTTCTGGTCCTGTATCTATTCTGTGACACGGACGTCAGATTGCCGAGGGGGGACTGGATCAAAAACTGTGTTTGTATCAGTTTGCAACACATAAGACAAGATGCAAGATTCTTAAAATATACCAATTTTTGGGTGACGTCCGTGTTGACAAAAACGTCGTTTAAGTTCACTAATAAGTAATTAAACAATGCTCAATAGCTATATACTTTAACATCTGACTCTTCCACAGTCCCTAACACTGCTTCTAACACAAAGGACCATGGGAATGCCCCGAGGCGTCACATTCCCATCAATCAGCGCGCGTTGGGTAATTCAACGCGCGTTAGGTAAGCGACTGGGGACGAGTCAGCTTTAACATCATCAATCTTACGCGTTTATACGTTTATCCATATTAAATTTCGCTACAAATACATACCATAATGACATGTGCAAAGGGGTGTAAATATGACCATAAATATACCATAATATAAATGATTTCTTCAAAGGGTTGTAAATATCGAGGTGTAAATATGACCATAAGTATACCATAATATAAATTATTTCTTCAAAGCCAGTGTAGGTATATAGTGGCAATAGTAACAAAAAACGTCGGATTGGGATGTAACTACTCCTGAAAAATACACAAGGAGAGCTTCGACGTTTCGACGAAGGCCCTTCTTTCAGGAAGTTAGTACCAGCCACTCTCTACTCACTTCCTGGGCCTTCGTCGAAGTTCTCCTTGTATTTTTCAGGTATAGTTGCATATCAGGTATAGTTGTTTTCAAAACCCTATAGCATCATGTTACGGAACGTTGGCAGTGTTGAGAAAGCTGGAGCACTTGGCTCCGTATCATGTAATAATAATAATAATAATTTAATGCTTATATCGCGCAAATTTACATTCATATATAATCAAATGTAAGGAAATGGCTTGCACTCTGCCTTGTTCTTGCAAAACTCGACTATATACTTCCGTAGTGTTTGATCTGCTTACCAAATGTGGCGCCTACACGAGCACAAAATGCATGTGCGGGTTTGTATTGAAGAAGTATGCAACAGAATCTGATCTTTTTCAGTCTGAAATGGCTTAATACAGAAGAAAGGCGTAAACTATCCATCCTCAAATTGACTTTAAAGCCTTAAAAAACTGTAACTTCCCGGAATATTCTCAACTTTGTCTCCATTCCGCATCAGCATATAATTTTAGATCTTCTGAAGCTCCTGTAATTAAAATACCTAAAGAGACTGGAACTTTTCAGGACACTGCTGCAACTCGTTTTAACAGTCGTTAGTTAACAACTCGTTTTAACAGTCGTTAGTTAACAACTCGTTTTAACAGTCGTTAGTTAACAACTCGTTTTAACAGTCGTTAGCCTCCAGAAGTTAGAAATATTAAAGACTAAAGAGCCTTGCAAATCGGTTTAATAAATCAATTTTTTTATTAAACTTTTAGCTTAATGTATATATTAATGTAATTATTATATTTATAGTTTTAGAGTTGTAGTTTTAGACTATGCATGTAGTTGTTAGCATAAGTATTAGAAGTGTGCATCGGATCGGATTGGACGTTTATAATCCGACAATTGACCGATCCGAAATTGTCTAATCCGATCCGAAGAATCCTTTAACAAAATAAATTTCTCATTCAAGTTGAAATGTTTAACCAAATAAATATAAAAACAAGAAATACATGTCAAGAAGCTGACAAAGTGACGTCCAATTGAAGTATCAAACGAAAAATGCAGCGACAACCGCGATAATGCTTTGATAAATGCGTGGATATTTAATTCTTGCAAGTGCGTGGATAATTAATTCATTTTATTTCGAATATCAAAGTCCGATCCGATCCGACTACGAAACAACTTTATCAATCGGATCCGAAATGTATATTTTTGTTCCGAAATCTGAACGGATCGGATTCGATTCGGATCGGATTTGCACACCTCTAATATGTATGTAAAGGCGAAGAGCCACTTTGTGGACGCACTTTGACGCACTGTATATTAACTCACTTTTATTATTACTTAAAATACTCAATAATTCGTAAACCTTGTGGCAAATCATGTCAGCCATAATATGTCACGTGGAGTGACTTTATATCTGATAAAGCATGCGGCATTATATAATTGTTCATCCTAATTAGTATTCTTTTGTAGTCGTATTTTAAGCTATTTAAAACACGAGTAGGAGTGTTTTATCAGACAGAAAACGCTCGGCTGCGCGTCGCGTTTTATATCTGATAAAACACTCCTACTCGTGTTTTAAATAGTACTAAATATGACCATGTCTATCATGATGACTTCTACAAAGTGGTGTAGATTTTACCATGTGTGTGCGTGTGTATTTCACGGTAAGCGCTTGTCAACCAATTTTGCGAAGCAATGTTGCAGCTCTTGTTTTGGGATAATGAGATGAATGAGTTCTGATGTGATAATAAGATGGTCCAGTGTTAAATTGTTTTCCATGATGGTGCCATTTATCAGCCAAGTACCAATAGTAAGAACACCACTTCCGGAATACTTCGGTAGATTCAACTTACAATTGTGAAGGCTGTTATCAATAATTATACATCTAAACGAAAGTACATACAGTATATACATATCATGTCAAATAGATACACAGTATAAAATGTCAGAACGTGTTGGAACAAATGAATTTTTGGAGCCGTTTTTAAGCGCAATGGAAAGAGATTTACACGCATGCAATTGCAATTTAAAATAGCACGAAAGAAAACGAAGTACGCTTTTGGTTCGTGATGCCTCTGAGAGAGCTATGACTAAAAAGAGACGATAAAATATGTGCAGAGCTGGGAAAGCTTAAAGTTTCCAATAATCCAGTCTCAATGCTCTCACTAAATTAAACTGACTTTGTTTTCATTGGTTGGCTTTTATATCAGTTCAACTTGTTCCTTCTGGCGGCCCAGTGACCAGTGGCGGAAATTCACTTCTTCCGGTGGGGGAAGCCGTCTAAATTTCCGACAAAACTTTCAAATTTCCGACAACCCCACCCCACCGAGATTTCCGCCACTGCCAGTAAGTCTTCTTTTTATTCTTTGTCATCCATTTTCAGATCAGTGTTGTCATCCCTTATTTGCCCAATGTTACTACAGGACAAATAATAGATAGCTAAGATCTACGACGTCGACGTCAGCTAGGACGTCAGGGCTATGCAGAGGACTGGGACTAGGATGTCGTCCTAATGTAGTCCCAGTAGTCAACATGTTATTGTATGAATTATGCATGAATTCACTCTAGTATCCCATGCAGTGGATAATACCGGGTGTCCCAAAAAAAGTACTCCGGTTTGATTTATAATAACTTCTAAACAAGTAAAGCTATCAAACTGAAATAACTTGCATTAAATAGAAGAAGGGCTAACTTAGATTTTGATATATTACAGTTGTATTTTACTTAAAAATTCACGGAGATATTAATGTTCAAAATCGGGAGCATATTTTGGGATGGGTCTAAAATTAGCGAAAATCGGCATATCAAATATTAACTCCAGCGTTTGTTTGCTTAATGACATATCAGGCAAACTTGTATTTCAGCGAATTGTCGTTAGGGTTTGTAAGGGATATGGCGTAGATTTAGACATCTTACATGTAAGTTCATTTAGACATCTTACATGGAACGTTCGAAATTACTATGCAAGTATTTAATAGGTCTTTACAAACTTAAAGGCACATGAAAGACCATGCAAGGCAGACGCTTTTATTTACTGGTATAATAGTGCATGTTTCAGTCGGTCAAATCTTGATTAATATTTGATACGCCGTTTTTTGCATATTTCAGACACATCCAGAAATATGCTCCCGATTTTAAACATTAATATCTTCGTGCATTTTTAAGTGAAATACAACTGTAGTATATCAAAATTTCTTCAAATTATTTCTCTTTAAAATCTTTATTTGTTTCGAAGTTATTACGAATCAAACAGGAGTACTTTTTTGGGACACCCGGTAGTTAGTGTTAAAGTTCAATTTTTCTGTTTGCCGATTGGTCGACCGTATCACGTGCCGGTCCACAAAACGTCGTGTTCACTGCGTGCTTTGCCGAGGAGGCAACCGGTCCACAATGAAACATTTATTGACCGGTCAATAATAAAATGGGTGCAATACGCATGCGTGTCAACCATGAGGTTCCAAAGTTCATTTTTTAAACTTTTTATTAAACATTCACAGCATTCGAATCATTTATTCAGTTTTGGTTTTCAAATTAAGTTCACTCCAATAACTTGTGAATTATTCGTTCTTTGACACTTATATACTATGGCGGTCTCGGCTCCACAAAACACACTGTTTCCCTCGGTCTCAGTAAATAAAGCCGGTTTTCCACTTCGCCCCAGATCAGTGCTTCGCCCGTATCGTAGCGAAACTTACTGGTGAGCATGCGCAGATTGAAAAGAGGTTTATAAATCCACGTACTTCCGGGTGTATTCGCGTATCAAAATGAAAAGTTCGTCGCAAGTCAACTTTTTGGCGTACTACGGAAGTACTAACCAATCAACATTCACGAAATTATGAAATTTAAAAACGTTTTTGATACGTTTCGGTACGGTACGCTTGAAGTGGAAAACCGGCTTAAGTGATAATTGCAGACCTTGCTTATAATGCATCTTCGTGCCAGGGGCGGATTCAGCGTCTCAAGCTGACCGTAGCATTTTGGATGAAATCAACATGCGGGGCCGAAGGCCACGCCCTACCTAGGGGGGTTTGGGGACATGCCCCCCCCAGAAAATTTTTGAAATTTGAAGCCCGCAAGTACCATTTCCTGTATTCTGAGCATCGAAATTACATTTAAAATTTGTAGAAAAGTGGCTGTTTTTCACACCAAAATAAAAAAAAAACGCACAAAAGTTACAAAATTTATTCATCAACATACCACTTCGAACAACAGATTATCTTGAAAAAGTAAGATAACAGTAGTTCGAAAGTTTTCAAATGAAATGCATCTTGAAACAGCGGCCCAACGACAGTTAGGGACAACGTTTACTGGCTAAGCAGCAGCACAACTTATGGCAGTCAGGAAACTGAAATATTTTCTGTACTGTATATAGATTATCTCCAAGTTATAGGGAAAATGTTTATTTGTAGATCATCTTGAAACAGCAGCACAACGGCAATTAGGAAAAATGTTTATTTGTATATGTTTATTTGTACTAAAATTCGAGCAATACTGCAGGAATTCGCGCAGAGCTGGGTGCGCAAATTTTAGTACTGCGGGAAATATAATCCACGCGAAAAGCTTTGCGGTGTAATATTCACTCGTTGTTAGTAAATAATATAATGTAAGGCAATACCATATATACGAACCTATAATATATGGTATGCTAATAAAATTAGTTATTGTTATTGTATTAGGCAAATGAAAACCATACATTTTGAAGTTTGAACTTTATACGCTTTAAGCCTGGTTCACATATATGCCTGCGACGTACCGGCGACGATGCCGATGGTAGCTTTAAAACGTAAATTATGTGAACATTTGTTCGCCGATTGCCTCCAGTGCCACAGTTACATCGGCGGAAAGTTGACTTGAGTTCAACTTTGCCGGTATTTCGGCGGCAAGTAGAGGCATAATGATACAGTCGCAGGTATGCCGCAGGCATATGTGAACCATGCTTTACTGTTATCATGAATTTTGTTTTGACAAATATTGAAGTATTTGTTGTTATAGTTCTATTAATCAAACCAAAAGGAGTGTCCCTATATGTCGTGTGTCGTGTGTCGTGGGTTAAAAGTCGTGTGTCGTGGGTAAAGTCGTGGGTAAAGTCGTGGGTAAAGTCGTGGGTCATAAAATGTGCTAAAAACGCATTTTTTCACGAAGATATTATTTTTATTTTTAATATTTTTTTCGTACTTTTTCCATTTATGCACTAGATAAATACAGGAAAATTTAACGCAAAAATCTCCAGTAATAAAATAATTTCTTATCTTGCTGTTATCTATAGTATAACCTGCTATAACAAGTAAATGTTTGATTATGTTTCCGTTTCGTATAGTCTGATAAGCCTATAGAGTATAAATGTATTGTTTGATGTATAAATGTATTGTTTAAGTTATAGGATATAGGTTTATTAGCTTTGGAAGTGTTATAGTCCCTATCAATTCATGAACGTCGCGAATAATTATGTCGATTCATGCCGATATGTCTGATACAAACATATGAGGCTATACTGAATTTTACGCTGCAGTGTCTAGTATAATTAGTGGCCACTCGAGCCTCAAATTTTGCTATTTTATCTCCTAGACCTAGTATATGTTCGTGGCCCTTGACCGAAACATTTCATGTGTATGTGGCGTTCGGAAATATTCCATAAATTGCTACGATTTGGGATTTCCCGATTGAAACCCGAAATGATTTGTGCGATGTCGGGCTAATTGCCAACCGAGCGCGCTAGCCGCTGTTATTTTGACAGAATATGATACCTTTACACTTTTCAGCCGTAATTTTCAGCGCGCACTGTAATCATATACATATCGTTTAATTTAGCCTTCAAAAACATGTTATTCGTGTTCGTTCCCGCGGAGCGCAATGGTGTCATAGTCAGTTGCCAAAGGCAGAGCACATGCAAAGCCGCCTTGGTATAAATCATGTATGTAACGGGAAATCTTGCTTATTTCAGTCGAATAAAGTCAACCTTTTTTTTTTTTGATAATGTACGCAACATGCTGCGCAGTTTACATTTAACAAAACAAGTTTTTGAAGCTAAATTAAACGATATGAATAATTCATCAATATGTGATTACAATCCGCGCATTTGTATTACGGCTGAAAAGTGTAGAGGTATCATATTCTGTCAAAATAACAGCGGCTCTGAGCGCGCACTTTTAAGGGCCACGAACATATACTAGCTGTTCTAGGAGATAAAATAGCAAAATTTGAGGCTCGAGCGTTGGCCACTTATACAGCGTAGAATTTATAGCTCAATATGTTTGCATAAGACAGTATGCAATCGACGTAGTTATTCGCGACGTTCGTGATAGGGACTACTGAACACTTCCAAAGCTAATAAACTTATATCTTAATATCCTATAACTTAGGACATTTTATCATCAAACAATACATTTATAGACTTATTAGACTATACGAAATGGAAACGCTTACTTGTTATACTATAGATAACAGCAAGATAAGAAATTATTTTATTACTGGAGATTTGTTGCGTTAAATTTTCCTGTATTTATCTAGCGCATAAAAGGAAAAAGTACGAAAAAATATTAAAAATAAAAATATGAAAAAATGCGTTTTTAGCACATTTTATGACCCACGACTTTACCCACGACTTTACCCACGACTTTACCCACGACTTTACCCACGACACACGACTTTTAACCCACGACACACGACACACGACATATAGGGACACTCAACCAAAAGGAACCAACACGGAAAATTACTTGCGCGAATTTAAAGCTGCGCGAACAAGTTTCGTGAAATTGGAATGCGCGAATTTAAAGCTGAACGAAAATGAGTATACGACGCGAATTTTAATACAAGTAAGGTATACAATACATGGATTTGAAACATCTAACCATATATTTATGATACGTTATCCCAGGAAGCAGGCTCAGCTGTTGTAATTCTAAACTCTGTTAGTATACATGTAAACTACAATATAATATATCGGAGTGTAACTATTTCTATAAATTTCATTTACACTACTCACTAGTCTTTATAGACTACAAGTCTACAACTAATAATTACATGAGCAAAGTCTAAGATATAAAATATATAGGGGATTAACTAACATATTTCTTAATATAAACACACATGGCATGCCAATGGCTATCAAATAGTGTGAGTGGCTATTGATATTGTTCTGCATTTTTATAATGATACGTTTCATCAGCAAATATATGGTAATATATTCGAGACGCATAACTGTGTAAAATTCGATATGTTATTTACATATTTAATATACTATTCATGAGACTGACCTGACACGGAGGTGATTCAAACAGCGCTGTCTTCACAGTTCACATCGCGGGAAATGCAAATCATGCCAATAATCGCACACCAAAAGCTTTCGATCAGAATTCTTTCGCGCACCTTTTCGTTAAATGAAACACGTTTACATTCGTTCATTATACACAGAAGATCGTGGAGTCATGTAGAAGCCGCCATATCTTTCTCCTTGGAACGAGCGGCGATTAAAATTTACCGACTATTCGATTACAACGAGGAGCCGACACGACAATAACAAGCCAGCATCGCTCTAAAGTCGATGCGACTGTTGCAAACAGTAGCATTTTGCCTCATTCTGATTGGCTTACTTCGTCTGACCGTAGCAAACCAATCAGCACGCTGTATTTGCGAATTTTTGCAACGGTCAGTTTCAATCTGACCACTGCAAAAATTTCCAAATACAGCGCTATGATTGGTTTGCTACGGTTAGACGAAGCAAGCCAATCACAATGAAGCAAATGCTACGACTTCAGAACGATGTGATATAGTACTAGTGCAAAACCCGCAAATACCGGCAGTATTTCGGGCGGAAATTTGAGAAAAACCCGAATTTAATTATCCAAAATGAAATAAAAACTCGATAAAATTGTATCAATATGATTTAGTAAATTTTAAAAAAATTGCACCAAGTTTCAATGAAAAATTGAAAATAACGGCAATTAAAAATAGTCTAACGTTTTAGTTTTTAATAACTTTAAAAAAGGTACAACCTGGAAAAATATATCTCAGGGAAAATCTGACCGTAGCATATGCTACGGTTGCAACGGTCTGAATCCGCCCCTGCGTGCTGATACTGCGCCCATTTCGTGCATATTAACTATATCCCCCAGCGGAGTGAATGCCTGAGCTGGCGTCTTGTTTATATTAAATAGTCTAAGCTGTTCTCGCTAGAGGACTATCGCTTATAATATACTAGTCATCCAGTGTTACTAAAAGAGGAAACTGGAGATCCTGTAGTAAACCAGCATTGTTTTGGTCAAACTAAAAGCAATCAGGTTTGTTTCTCACCTTGACTCAGTACTATCCTGCAGATTCTTCTGAGACGTCCAAGAAACGTGATGCCATTTATTAGTTTTGATACTACCCCACTTAAAATTGTCGTTATTCAGCTCAAACAAAACTTCCTGAAACACAAAACATAAATGGGTACAACTGGGAAAGGGTTTTAAGAACATTTCTGAAAATAAAATGGACTTTCCTAATCTAATTACCCTTATGAGGAAGAGGAACATACAAAATAGTTAACTCGTGTATAAAAATAGGTACGCTAAGCGTACATGCATCTGCTCGTGGTGATTGCACTGTCACAAGGGTTTGCATAATATTTTTTCGTGGCAGAAAATCCAATAAACAGAATAGTAGGTTTAGTTTAATTGTACATTGTGTGCTATTAATAAGATCCATTAGGCATTATGACATATGGTTGTTGTTGATTGTAAGACAATATAGTATGAGGTAGGGAAAGGCCAGGGGGGTATAAAATTGCTCACCTGGTGTTCTTGGCAATGACATTCAGTTGCAGACATCAGGGTGGATGAAGAAGGGAGCACACCCTCGCCCCCCCCCCCAGGATATAAAGTTATATACTGCAAGTTAATAATTATGACTCGGGTTGCAACTGTACTATACGTATTGATATTCCAATCTGAAGCTGAATCTCTGCTCTTTATGCCATTATTACTCTCAGCCACTATTACTTTGGTTTTGCTTTAATAAAAGCAATTAATCAATGCACATACTGCTTTATGATCAGAGGAATGTTTCCAATATGTGTGACTTAGCTTGTGACTCTGGTAAATTTCTATAAATATGATCTAGACATCAATTGTCTATAGTTATGATCATTGATAAAGAAATTATATAAAGGCCTTCTATTGGCTTCATTCAACTAATTTATATTAAAATCACCTATGAAAATGTTAAATTGAGAAATACATAACATCAACACTTATACACTCGATATACACCTACTGCAATGGTAACATGTGGAAGAATCATTGCTCTCATAGTTTCATAATAGTATCTCAATGCCATTTATAGTCAATTTGCGAATCACTTCGGGAGCTGCAGCCAGACTATACTTAAAAATCAGGCAATTCTACTTAAAAATTGCTCAAGCTTACACTCTACTCCGCAGAGCCGTATAATTAAACACGAAAGCTAGCTATAACTGGAAATGTAAGGCATTCAGGCCCTTCGGTACGCCTGTGTGAATGAGGGGAAATTATAACCAGCAAGGCCGGCGAGAGGGGGGGGGACAAAATGCCCAGGGCCCGGAGTGCTCAGAGGGGCCCGGAAATATCGGTAAAATATTCGTATTGTTTATCATCGCTTTATGTTTGTCCTAAATGAAATACGTCCACTATCCTTGCACACTATCCGCTGATCGTCGCCATCGAACGTAAAACGTACCAAACGATTTTTCGATCGTTTTCTCAGCAAAAACAGTTAGCTGAACATCGTTCACATTGCGTTTTTATCAGTTATGCAGCGTTTTCTTGCAAGTAATTCGCTGGCAATTCTCTCGTTGATTGCGATTAAAAATAGCCAGCGGGAGAGTCGAGAGGGACAGGGGGCCCGTGTTCACCAATCGTCATGCTGTCCCGGGGCCCGTGGTTGGCTCTTGCCGGCCTTGATAACCAGACAAGTGCATATAGCTGAATCGCGGTCGTAGAGGTGAAGTGCACATCAACTTACCACAGTGTTACCAATATACCCCGTAGTCAATTTTTCAAACAGGAAACTCCTTAGATAAAATTACCTTAAACATGCTGTCGTTGGGGAGCACGGTTATTGGTACTTACAAAATGTGATGTTTTATCTCGTTTCCGCCCTCTAAAGCCCAAATGAAGTTCGTCTTGAACAGATCCAATATTTGTGCCAATTCCCAACATTGCCACATCATAGTATTGGTTACCTTTGGCACTATTTGATTCCGAAATATCACCAAACTTCACCAACGCTGTGATACTCCAATCCCTATCTTGCCAAAATGTTTCCGGAATGCCAGTGACATTGACGTAGTTCATTCCAGTAAAATTATAAGCTTGCCGCATTACAGCTTCGACATAGAGAGGCTTTGAATTGAGAGGCAGGATTTCTTAATAAACGAAAGATCTAAGTTACGATTCGGGTTAGCATTTTAATTTATGAGGATTACGATACAGGGTAAGGACTAGGTTAAATATTAGGGTTAGAATTAGAGTTAGAGGATTGTCATTATATTATAGGATTGGGGATAGTCAGGGTTGTGTGGTTACGGATAGTCAAGGTTAAGGGATCGTTGTATTTAAATTGTGGTCAGCCAATATAGAAATTTAGTACCCGCCACTTTTGTGTATATAGGCTATATACATATACATAAATCCAATAAATGAAAACATTCAACAAACCTGCAGTAATACTAGCATTATAGTCTGAAGGATTCACAATTGGTTTTATATCACTGTTAAACTGGAACATAATTCCCGGGTTCCCATAATAGAAAGCTTGTAGATTACGTTCAGGTACATTTGCGTCCTTCGTGCAATGTGGTGGATTGATATCCAAAGCGATGTTTCTCCATCCAACTTGTGTGCAGAGTTGAAGACCGGCTTTCATTGAATGACGTAGGACTCCTACCATTGAGCTATTACAGCTGCAAGACATACTGAACTTAGAACACGAAACATTTCACGTCATTTGAAAGGCAAGCGTATTGGATTGGATAGGGTTCTATAATAATCTTTCCTTGTAGCTAAGTAGTCTGAGTGCTGAATTCAGACAAACGCAAATCAGATATGATCGAGACAGACTCCCGTATTCTAAAAGCTCACTCACAACTCAATGAGTTGAGATTCAATCTGAGCTTCTCTTGAGTGTCAATGCTGTTTTTGAATAGCTGGAGGGTTAGTGTCGTACCTTACTATGTGACTACTCTCCCTCCAGCTATTCAAAAACAGCATTGACACTCAAGAGAAGCTCAGATTGAACCTCCACTCATTGAGTGTGAGTGAGCTTTTAGAATACGGTCTGTAGAGTTCCATAAAAGTTTTATTATAATTTGTTAAAACATAGCAAGATATAAAATTTACAATACAAGAAATGAAAATATAATGTAAATTAGCAACAATGGTTCTAAAATTATGATTTATTTATTAATTGGCTTGGTTTAGAAAATTTTATCTATCGTTTTGGTGACACGTTAAAAGGACACGTTTGTTGTAAGCCGAGTCTCTAAAGTCATGTCTGAAACTCTAAATCATGAAAGCGAGACTATATACTAGACAATAATTACGGGAACTACTCAAATTTTAAGAAAATACAAAATAACAGTAACTCTGAATAGACTGAATAACATTTTTTATTTTTAATCGACGTTTCGACTAGTTTGTAGTCATCCTCAGGATTAATAATCATCCTCAGGATTAATAATTATTAATCCTGAGGATGACTACAAACTAGTCGAAACGTTGATTAAAACTCAAAATGTTATTCGGAGTTACTGTTATTTTGTATACTAGACAATGTGACATAGTTTACAGAAAGTTGTAATATGATATAGATCATGAATTGAAAACGTACTTTTCACTCTTCTTATCCAGATCTGTATAATAAATGACAGGTCCAACATTGCTGGCAGATCCCGGATGTCCTGGAGGTCCTGGTGCACCCTTAGGTCCTGGTGCACCCTCAGGTCCTGGAGCACCGTTAGATCCTGGTGCACCATCGGATCCAGGCCACCCTTGGTTACCTCTCTTGAAAATAATGACAAATAATAGGTTGAGAATAATACTGTTTGTAACAAGTATTTGGTGGTTTCACTTAGCCAAATCAGGGCGCTGTACAGTGCCATCCAATCGATAACTGCGTGAGGTAGGTTTTGATTGATGACTAGACTCATTAACTGGCAAGCTGTTACAATGTTACCACCCCCTAAAGTGGCAAGCAATATGGCGAATTCATGATTGAATTCCAAGCTTTCACCAAAATGCCAATATCTCAGAAACAATTGAATAAAAAAGTCTGATCTTTTCAACCAAACATGAATGATATATGATTGACCAAATTTAGTTTAGATGTCCTTGCATACCTATATATATCATTAGTTTTTTCAGTCAGTATTTTTATTTATAAAGCAGTGACACTTTGTTTTTCATGTCACTCATCACCTAAAGGGGCAATATCTCCACAAATTTATATAAAAACAAAAAAAAAATCATTTACTAAATTAATACATATCTATATTACAACCAATTTTCATCTTTTGGGATATGAATTATGAAATTATCAAAAAATTTAAAAATTACTTCTTTGCTTTTTTGGGGCATCTTGTTTACAACATGAAATTTAGAACAGTAACTAAGTGTTCAAGTTCAACAAAGTGTGCAAGCCAAAACACAGTGTTTGTACATCTTTAAAGTTTTTTGATTGCTTCAAATATATTTAAAAAGACACATAGTGCTTAAATTTATTTATTTTAATATAAACCAAGGATGGGAAGGTGAGAAAATGGGAATTTTCTGAGGTGTTTTTAACACAGACAATGACAGGCCGACATTTTGAAAGGCACTCTGCGGTGACAAAACTAAAAGCTATTCACTTTTGTACTCAAAGCACTGAAAAGCATCGTAAAGAGAAAAACACTTTAAACACATGTCAGGTAAGACTTTTAGCTCAATATTTTCATGCTTCTATTGGGAAAGCAACGGTTTAAAAGCCAAAATTATTTTGCGCGCCAATGTAGGCTGCTATAAAATGTCAGACAGGCGGTTTCTTTTGAAGTCTGGCTCTGAAAAACAATCTCATTTTTTTAGTTTGAAATAAGCCTTCATAAGGACTATTGTGTAGAAATGTTATCTATATCCTCACATGAAAAAGATAACCTAATATTCAGGTATTCCACATAGCTATAAAAGGGTGAAATAAGAACTTTCATCTTTGGTTGTTTGTCAGACGTGAGAAACCACATTAGTGCCATTTTGTTGCGCGTGCTATTTTATAAAATAAACACCTCAAAACCATAAACTTTTAGTTCAGAAAATTACAAAGTTTCCCATAGACATTATTAAAAATGTTCTAGTGAAGCGATTTCATGATAAATAAGGGAGCGATGGGCCCAAAAGAACTGCTAAGGTTAGTTTTTGTTAGGACTTCAATTTCATGGCTTCCCACAAAGGAAGCCATTTCAGGGAGAAGCAACATTTTGCAAACAACCGTCGCGACCTATTTTGATAACTTTTCCTTCTGATTCAACGTGTAGTTACTACAAAATGATGTTGCATCAACGTTATTATCTGCTTTATCGATTTAAAGTTTTATAGGGGATATAAAAAAACAGTAAAAATGCATTTTGAAAGCTTTACAATTCAAGTACGGACTTTTTGAATATTCGCACGCGGCATGCAAGCGCGTTTATTCAATACACTTATTTTAAACCACAATATGTCTGAAACGAGTTGTCATTTTAACACTTTAATTGATGAAAATAGATATAACGGTGATTTTGGAATATCCTACTTATTTAGTGTAATTTAATACTCGAAGTATTCTTGCCAAAAAGGTCAAGAAGGTCACGTACGCACACAGTAAGTGTCGTTTGAAATATACTATAGCTAAAATAACAACTTGAACAAGAAGACCAACAATGGGGTCACGAAAACAGTCAAAGTTGCGCCCAAATTTGCATAAACAGTTCGTCTAAAAAGATAACTTTAAACTAGATTCAACCAACATTAATGCGGTCGAATTTTGTGAGTGTTTGATCGCATATTTCTACTCAAAAATACCCTTTAAAAAATCGTATCTGCTCACTTGAGTTCCGTGTTCATCTTTCTTGTGATTTCCGACTTCTATTTTTAATAAAGTTTGGAGAAATCCTCATCTTTTTGGCTGAAAATCTTGCGCATGGTTCACAGAAGAACTTGGCCCAAAACGTCAATACATTCGCTTTCCTTTCATGCCAAATTTTCGTTGTAAATCATTCAAAAACGTCTTCTTTTTTCTCTTTTAAAACTTGCTGTGAAATCTTTCTTTGCAACAATATCGCCATTATTCATTATTTTCGAAAAACTAAGGTTTTAAACTTGAAAAACTTTGCGAGTTTTTGGCCGATTTTCTTGCATGATACACCGTTGAAAAGCTCAAATTTCGCGTTCTATTTTCGTATCCGTTGCTAGGCAACCCGATAAACACGTGCTCAAATATCATGCCCGCAAGTTGAGGTGTCATTTGAGGGCGTATGCGGGCGCATTGCCAGTTACCCACTTGCCAATCTCAGGGCGCATCCGGGCGTATTGCCAGTTAATGAGTTAAAACATTTCAGTCAAACTCTATAACAAGCATTAATATACGGTAACAATGTTTAGCTACAATGTATATAAATTGTATCTCATGCTACATTGCAAGATCATGGAAATGGAATAGATTGAAATACTATAAAATTCACATCAGCACATGGTGCCAGGGTGCGATAATTTGCGTACTTCTATTATAATCATTGGCATACCAGTCATGTACAACTAAAAATATTGAATTATCGCACCCTGTCACAACTAAAAATCTTGAATTATTGCACCTTTTTTAATTGAATGGTTTAAAGTCGAGGTATAATATTTTAAATAATTATTTTGAATTATATATTATAACTATTGTGCAGCTTCGGCCCGAACAAACTAAGGCTTAACACTATTTTAGTAAAGTATAGGGGCCTGAGCTGCTACAATTAGCAAAAATAATACAACAACAGGAGGAGATTACAAAAATTGCAGTGAGACAGAAAAATGCCAGAAAGCTTATCTGCCAGTAAAAGTATGTTGTAATCTTGTGCATCATGTTGGTCAGACATCCACCCAGAAATATGTTATCTGGTCTGTAATTCTGTCCACAGTCGGGAGTTTCAACTTTACAGCAAGAGTCGGGAACAGTTTCATTGTTAAACTTGATGTTATGCTGCCAATCTGATGGTCCCTCTACTCCACAACATTCTAAATTTTGCTGAATGTAATCCAAAATGGGGTCCGTGCTACCGGTATTTATTTTAGCCATCATATTCTTCCTTATATCGGACTCTACTCTTTCGCTGTCAAATTTGCTGACACTGTAGCTTAGGCGGCCAACCACAACAATGACCATGATGAAAGCAAGCAGCAAGCAACAGCCTCCAACTTTGTCACCATCTCCGACACCGAAACAACAGGCACAGACGGCTGATAGGAATAAAAAGACTCCAATTGCAATCATGAGCTGATACGTTGGCAAGAATTCATGTTGTGTGGCATCTTCAACATAGAAAAGTATCGGCTCCTCAAGCTTCTTTGGGTAGTAGCCAACCATAACTCCCCCTGCAATGAATAAGATACCCAAAATACCAAGAAACAGTCCAAAGCACACTGTCACTGTTGAGCCTTTACCATCACCCTTGGCACCTCTCCTCTGGCAACAGGCAAACCATCCACCAGCAGGAATTTCTCCACCATAGCAACAAGCCTGGATGCGTGCAGCACATGCTCCTTTTCTCACACCTTCAGGTCCAAAACCCAAACAATTGCCCATGATATCAAGTTAACTAAAACGTATGAAATTCTCGTTTAGCTTTTCATTTGATTTTAATAGCAACTTAAAACATAAAAATACAATACCAGCGTCTAGCTAGCCTATGTTTTTGCACGTACCAAAAATGACAAAAGCGTTTTTAATGATTAAAATAAAACACAAAACATTCGATCGCAGGACGAGCTTTATACTGTAATATAATATTTTAAGGATGGGTTTGGGCAGATCAATCATCAATGATAAAACCAGTGGCCGGATACGATACCAAATACTCAATTTCCTGGAATATCCAATATATATTTCCTGGAATTTCGATTTTCGATATTGCTTTCGAACCTGCGATGTTTTTGGTCAGACTTATGAGAAAACTTGATAAATACTCCATTATAGAGAGTTATGTGAATTCACATTTTCCCCTCATGAAGTACATATTTGAAACGAATTTTTTATTATTGTTTCCCCAGAAATCCTCTTTAGAATGAACAATATTGCCGTTTTTTGTTTGTCAACATCTATTTCCGTTCAGGGATTATGGAAGTTTCTATATTTTTATTGATGACCGAGCCAGGAGAGATGTGCGGATCGGATTCGGACCAAATTTTACGTATTCGGATCGGATTTTGTTGTTTTTTTCTGTCGGATTGGATTTTGGTAGTTTTTCCGTCGGATCGACCATGGATATTTAAAACAATCTGGATCGCCCATAGTCTTTGTATCATCCTTCATCCATTCTTCAAGTACCATTTATTTGAAAAATGTTAGTTTACCCTGTTCTCGCTTCCCATTAATCCATTATCTGTGCTGATGTTTTATATACGGATTATTCTTCATAAGAATACATAATTATTAGAGGTGTGCATCGGATCGGATTGGACGTTTAGAATCCGACAATTAGCTAATTTTTAAAATCCGATCCGAAATTGGCTAATCCGATCCGATCCGAGTTTTCAGAATTTCGGCAATCCGATCCGAAGAATCCTTTAACAAAATAACTTTCTCATTCAAGTTGAAACGTTTAACCAAATAAATATAAAAACAAGATATACATGTCAAAAAGCTGACAAAGTCTCGTCCAATTGAAGTATCAAACGAAAAATGCAGCGACAACCGCGATAATGCTTTGATAAATGCATGGGTAATTAATTCTTGCGATAATGCGTGGATAATTAATTCATTTTATTTCGAATATCGATGTCCGATCTGATCCGACTACGAAACAACTTTATCAATCCGATCCGAAATGTATATTTTTGTTCCGAAATCCGAACGAATCCGATCGGATCGGATTTGTACACCTCTAATAAAATATATGTTTCTTTGTTGGCTTTACATTCTCAAAACAAATCAACGCATGTTTCTGTCGTTATCAGTCTGCCATGATTTTGTAATTTTTGTTTTTAGCATGGTGATAGATCATTATAAAATAACATGTATATAACGAGTGCTCTGATTGGTCGAAACCTGTGTTTGGATCAGGCCATCCAAACACGGAAATTTAAAGTGCCTTCGCGGGAATTTTAAACTGTGTTGTTATTTTATAAAGCAATTTTCGGCTCGTGATTTCGCGCGCTTTTCTTAACTCTCGCAACATTCCCGCGTCGAGCAACGTTCCCAAGTGTTTGGATCAGGCCATCCAAACACGGAAACCATAAAGTAATTGTATATTGAAGTTATATAATTATGTATTATACTCTTCAGTTAGATCTGATCACAGATACGTTATTTCAGATCGGATCGGATTTAATTAAAAAAAATTCGGATTGGATTGGATCGGATCGGATTACGTGTTTCAGCTTCGGAACGGATCGGATTTGGATTCAGAACGTGAGCAAAACTTCGGATTCAAGGAGGCCATTCCGATCCGACGCACTCACCTCTAATGACAACATTCATACAACAATTGATAATTTTTTTCAGAGTATATTTTATTTTAGTACAAGAATTTACTTTCAATAATTCAAAGTGCTTATGGAACGAAATGTTTGCCTCATCTTTTATTGTTTTATTAAAAGGTACTGCTCAAATGATGAAGAATGACGTTTACAGTTTATTCGTATAACCCTAAAGAATATATATATATATATATATATATATATATATATATATATATATATATATATATATATATATATATATATATATATATATATATATATATATCGCACTTTCTATATTTTGAGTTGTGACGTCACTAGTTTGACTCGAAATTGTGGCAATAACAAGAAAATCTGATATCTTGATGATCGTTCAATAAAATTCAATGAAACTTGGCACACCAAGTGAGTGCAACGAATTGAACAACTTGGCTTGTTTATACGGTTGTCATGGCAAAACACCTATCCCCAGTCCCTTTTCTTCCGATTTCTATATGATCCATTTCCACCGAAATAAATATAAACTATAATACGTCTAGGTGTTGTGATCAGTTTAAACCGTTATAACATGCAAACATTTTCTGCAGGAGGTCTACAGGAGGAAATTTTTGAAAAGGAAGATATGAGAGACTGGGGTCTAATGTGTTGCCATGACAACCACATGACCTACCAAAAATATTCATATGGGTGCACCCACTAAGTGTACCAAGTTTCATTGAATTTTATTATAAATATTCACCAAGATTCACACTTCCTTTTTATTGCCATTATCAGTCAAACTTGCGACGTCACAACACAAAATATAGAAAGTGCGATAACTTGAGAATAAGATGAGATATGAAAAAACTGTAAACGTCATTCTTCATCATTCCAGCAGTACTTTTTAGAAAAACAATAAAAAGTGAGGTAAAAATCAAAGAAGATAGTTAACATCAACATTCTAGTAGCTACAAGGATTAATACAACAACAGAAGCAGATTACAAAAATTGCAGTGAGACAGAAAAATGCCAGAAAGCTTATCTGCCAATGAAAATATGTTGTAGTCTTGTGCACCATGTTGGTTAGACATCCACTCCGAAATATGTCATCTGGCATGAAATTCTGTCCACAGTTGGGAGTTTCAACTTTACAGCAAGAGTCGGGAACAGCTTTGTTGTTAAACTTGATATTATGCTGCCAATCTGATGGGCCCTCTACTCCACAACATTCCAATTTTTGCTGGATGTAATCCAAAATGGGGTCCGCGTTGCTATTTATTTTAGCCATCATATTCTTCCTTATATCGGACTCCACTCTTTCGCTGTCAAATTTGCTGATACTGTGGCTTAGGCGGCCAACCACAACAATGACCATGACGAAAGCAAGCAGCAAGCAACAGGCTGCAATTTTGGCACCACAACAACAGGCGCAGACGGCTGATAGGAATAGAAAGACTCCAATCGCAATCATGAGTTGGTAAGTTGGCAAGAATTCATGTTGTGTGGCATCTTCAGCATAGAAAAATATTGGCTCCTGAAGCTTCTTTGGGTAGTAGCCAACTATAACTCCCCCTGCAATGAATAGGATACCCAAAATACCGAGAAACAGTCCAAAGCACACTGTCGCTTTTGAGACTTTACCATCACCCCTGGCACCTCTGCTCTGACAACAGGCAAACCATCCACCACCAGGAGTTTCTCCACCATAGTGATGAGACTGGTAGCGTGCAGCACGCGATCCTGCTCTTACACCTTCAGAACCAAAACCAAAACAATTGCCCATCATATCAAGTTAACTAAAAAGTAGGAAATTCTCGTTTAGTTTTTCATTTGATTTTAGCAATTTAAAACATTAAAATACAACAAATATAAACCAGCATTTAGCTATGCTTTTGTACGTATAGACTTTCCAAAGTCCTTTCCAGACCCTCCTTTGTACGTACCAAAAATGATAAGAGCGTTAAAAATAAAACAAAACGGGGAGCGATTGCAGAATTCCCGTCCACTTTTGAAGACCCGTTAGATCACTAGAAATATCGGTGGCTACGTGGCTAATGGCTACGCAGTGCCGGCGGAGTTTTTATTAAATAAAATCCGTAATTATAACGTTTGAGTATGCAATAAGCAATAAAATTGCTGTTAGAATCGTGCACGCAGCGTTTTAATTACGGATTTTATTTAATAAAACCCGCTTGTTTAGGCTTTCTATGGTAATTGTAAGGAAGGTATATTTTTAGTGGCTACGTGTCGTGGCTACGCAGTGAGTTTTTGAAAGAACGAGACATTGATATAATGACGTAATTGTATGGAAGGTATATTTTTTAGTGATCTGGTTCCTTGCACTTCACTTGGTGGTGATAATATTTGAGCTGTTCTTAGGGTTTGTAATCCAAGTGAGTATATATATATATATATATACATTTTAAGACCTGACCAGGAACGACTGCGAAAAATGCAGCACAAGGTCCTCTGGTAGGAATTGAACCTACGGCCCTGCGATTCCGGTGCAGCGCTCTAACCAACTGAGCTACAGAGGCCAGCTGTTGAGCTGTAACCGTAAGTTCATGTATATATAGTAGTATATATTACGTTTTCAGCTTCGGACCGGATCGGATTCAGAACATGAACAAAACTTCGTATTCAAGGAGGCCACCAACCTCGTTCTTCCCTCTTTTTGAGGAGGGAAGAGCCTGGGAACGAGGTTGGGAGGCCATTCCGATCCGACGCACACCTCTAATGACAACATTCATACAACAATTGAGAATTTTTTTCAGAATATATTTTATTTTAGTGCAAGAATTTACTTTCAATAATTCAAAGTGCTTATGGAACGAAATGTTTGCCTCATCTTTTATTATTGTTTCATTAAAAGGTACTGCTAAATGACGTTTACAGTTTATTCGTATCTCATCTCATTCCCAACTCCCAAGTTATCGCACTTTTTATATTTTGAGTTTTGACGTTACTAGTATGACTCGAAATAGTGGCAATAACAAGAACATCTGATATCTTGATGCATGATCGTTTCAATGAAACTTGTCACACTAAGTGAGTGCAACGAATTGAACAACTTGGCTTGTTTATACGGTTATCATGGCAACACACCTATCCCCAGTCCCTTTTCTTCCAATTTCTATATGATCCATTTCCACCGAAATAAATAGCAATTTCGGCAATTATCGCTTATTACTATAATACGTCTAGGTGTTGTGATCAGTTTAAACCGTTATAACATGCAAACATTTTCTGCAGTAGGTCTACAGGAGGAAATTTTTGAAAAGGAAGATATGAGAGACTGGGGTCTAGTGTGTTGCCATGATAACCACATGACCTGCCAAAAATATTCATATGGGTACCCCACTAAGTGTACCAAGTTTCATCGAATTTTATTAAATACTCACCAAGATATCAGACTTCCTTTTTATTGCCATGATCAGTTAAACTTGCGACGTCACAACACAAAATATAGAAAGTGCGATAACTTGAGAATAAGATGAGATATGAAAAAAACTGTAAACGTCATTCTTAATCATTCCAGCAGTACTTTTTAGAAAAACAATTAAAAGTGAGGTAAAAATCAAAGAAGATTGTCAACATCAACATTCTAGTAGCTACAAGCATTAATAAAACAACAGAAGCAGATTACAAAAATTGCAGTGAGACAGAAAAATGCCAGAAAGCTTATCTGCCAATGAAAATATGTTGTAATCTTGTGCATCATGTTGGTCAGACATCCACCCAGAAATATTTTGTTTTGTCTGTAATTCTGTCCACAGTCGGGAGTTTCAACTTTACAGCAAGAGTCGGGAACAGTTTCATTGTTGAACGTGATATTATGCTGCCAATCTGATGGGCCCTCTACTCCGCAACATTCCAATTTTTGCTGAATGTAATCCAAAATGGGGTCCGCGGTGCTATTTATTTTAGCCATCATATTCTTCCTTATATCGAACTCCACTCTTTCGCTGTCAAATTTGCTGATACTGTGGCTTAGGCGGACAATCACAACAGTGACCATGATGAAAGCAAGCAGCAAGCAACAGGCCGCAACTTTGTCACCACCTCGGGCACCGAAACAACAGGCACAGATGGCTGATAGGAACAAAAAGACTCCAATCGCAATCATGAGTTGATAAGTCGGCAAGAATTCATGTTGTGTCACATCTTCAACATAGAAAAGTATCGGCTCCTGAAGCTTTTTTGAGTAGTGGTCAACCAGAACTCCCCCTGCAATGAGTAAGATTCCCAATATACCGAGAAACACTCCAAAGCACACTGTCACTTTTGAGAGTTCATCATCACCCTTGGCTCCTCTGCTCTGACAACAGGCAAACCATCCACCACCAGGAGTTTCCCCACCATAGCGAAAAGACTGGAAGCGTGCAGCAAGTGATTCTTTTATCACACCTCCAGGTCCAAAACCCAAACAATTGCCCATGATATCAAATTACAAACTAGAAAGTATAAAATTCTCGTTTAGTTTTTTACTCGATTTTAAGATTACAATAAATACAAACCAGTGGCAGCGCATCTAGCTATGTAGATTGTTTTAATTTGCACGTACCAAAAATGACAAAAGCGGAATAGTTAATTAAAAATAGAACACAACACATTCAATTGCAGTGCGGACTTTATATACTGTAATATTTTAAAGATCGGCAGATCTCCGAGAAATCCACTTTAAAATGAACAATATTGCCGTTATGTATTTCCGTTCTGGGGTTCTTGAAGTTTCTATATATTTTAATATTTTTATAGTTGACAAGATTCATACAACAATTGCATTTCATATCTAGCTACCTATACTTAAACGGTTTCAGCAACATATAATCTTGAACTGATCTGTTGCAGGTGTAGGTGTAGTGTCAATAATAGTGACCTTAAGATTGACGTTTAAGGCAAACATTAGCCTGAGTGTCTGACACTCAGGCTAGGCAAACGTCAATGAACCGCTAACGAAGTTTTGATTTTACAACTCTATTTAATATAACAGCTTTTACACCCGTCTTGATCAGAGTATATTAAAAATATTAAACTTGTTGTATTTAGCAACATTTAAGAAAGCAAATTAACCACGATACTCACCCACTGTACTCACTAGTCGTGTATTCACCAAAGCAGTAAATTAAGATTTAGCGTTTGAAGTTTACGGTACGTTGGCGTATAAATTTCATGCTTTAACGACTACAAGCCTCCGTAGCAGTTCAAGTATGAAATGTATATGCGAAACGTCGACTTCCAACGCCAAATCTTAATTTACTGCTTTGGTGAGTACGTGATTATAGAATATAGTGGTTAATTTGCTTTCTCAAATCATTGCATAGTCTTTCGAGACATGGTTTGGAAACTTACTAAACTTCAAAGCGGTTTTAATGAGCTGGGATTTTATGTTGAGCCGTGCCCTTACACCGTGCACATCCTTTGTTTTTAGGTTGATTAATATTTGAATAGCATGGTTGAATGACTGAACTGAAAAGTCTCTGTTGGATGATTCGTTCATTATACTGAAATACAATGTGTTTATTCACCGTGCACTGTGCACAATATTGCATAAACACGAACAAAAAGATAAAACAAAGACTTTGACTTCAAAGACTTTTGCGGAGTTTCCAAACCATGTTTTGAAAGACTATAATGATCATTGGCATTGCTAAAGGGCACAAGTTAATAGTTTTTTTTATATATTTCAAAACTGGTGTAGAAGTTGTCATAATAGAGTTGTAAAATCGGAAACTTCGTTAGCGGTATGACGTTTGGCGTAAACGTCAATCGTAAGGTCTCTAAACAAACTTTCGTTGGTCGGGATGCAACTACCAGAAAAATACAAAGCGAAATTCGACGTTTCGAGCGAAGGAAAAGCGAAGGCCCTTTGCCTGTTGTGTATTTTTCTTCTCTTTTACATTCTTTATTTTAACACAAACTTGGAAAATCGTAGCTTATAAAATTACACATTGTTGAGACAGAGATGCCCTTGTTGTGAAAACATCAAACATACCTGCAATGATGCAATCATCCAGCTGTTCAATCATAACATTTGTGTTTCACTTGTAATCACTGTCCATTAAGTAATTTTTGTACTAGTATATTTTGTCTTCGATGTAAAGCAAAATAATAAAAGGTCAGAAAGGAACACTTAAGAGAATATATTTTCTAATTTAAAGCGAATCAACCGTGCGAAAGATTAAGAAGATTATAACATGTGGAATGTGTATATGATCACATAAAGCATTATACGCGCTTACTTACTTACAAACATAGCCTAAACTATTTTATCTCGACAAGAATTGTGATATTACTTTCTTAACTGTGGGCGCTTTCCATTAACACGGCCAGACCGGTCAGAACGGTCAAATTGTTGAATGGAACACAAAACATTTGGGCTACCGACCTATCTGACCGGAAAATTTAGATAACATTAGAATGAGGTCCATTTTCGCAGTAGATATTTGAGAAACATAGACCAGATCTTTCCATTGATACAGAGAAAATAATTCGGGTCAGGCCATTAAATGGAAAGCGCCCTTTGTTTATTGTAATATCTTTGTAATTCAGCTTACGCTGCAAGGAAGATTTTAATAAAGCACATATTATTATTATTATTATGTACTATTTATTATCCCGGACAAAACGGCCACGACTTTCGGCAGAGCATTGACTGTCGGAATGACTGACTCTTTTCACATGAGTCCGTAGCTATAGAGTCGAACACGGACTTGGAGGTGAAAGCCAGCAGTGGCGTAACGCTCATTGGGTAGGATTAGTTAAAAAACTATGGGCTCCCCGACAGTTAGGGGCCCCCATCAGCCACGGCCTTATCGCCCAGAAAATTAGAAAACGTAACTGAAAATGCAGATTAAGAATCAATGGGAAAATTAATAGTGTTAAATACTAAAGCCTCCAACGGCAACGGTGGCTGATTTTTTTATTCTATCTCAAATAAAACAAAAGTTATTCTTACTAGTTGTTACATGTTTTGGAGACTGTCATTGTTATAGACATGGAATTTTCCAGAACATTCTATAAATATTCAATATAAATATAATATCTCAGTCGACAAATAATGACAACAGTCAACAAGGGCCCCCACACCACGCTTGATTACACTATGAGTTTGTTAATTAATTAATTAGATCTTTGAGTCTTTCTACAGTAATGGCTAAACGTTTCTGTGTTTTTAATTAAGCATTCACTTGTTGACCATCTGGATGTCAAAGCCAAACTTTTCAAGCAGTACCTCACGAAAACTGGCTACAAGATTGCAATATACAATGATGTGCTAATGACTATCCACCTGCAGATGCTACGTGGTCTGGCAGCTTATAGACTTGGCTCATGGTCTTACCAGATAGCCGAAACTGATGTCGAAGGTGGTCAGAAACAGGTCAACCCTAACAACATTGCCTGGTCTAGCGAGAGTAATGCTGTCGAGTTTTCTGAAAGCATAGTTGGCAAACAGCTGCAGAAAGTTGTCATGGACTTTGCAGAGGGAGGGGTGGGTGTGTATGTCCCATATAAAGTTGTTGGTCATATAGTGCGTTGTGGAGACTCCCCGAAGGTGCATGCTGACACTAAGCCTGAGGATGATGAGGTGTCTATGCTGATTTATTTGAATGAAAAATGGAGAAAGAATAATTATGGGGATTTGTACTTGTAAGTCTCTAAATTTTGTAGGAAAGTATAATGTAGTTATTTAAGTGTTTTTTTTTTCATTTTTTTCCTCCATCCTTTTAATCTTTCATTCCTTCCATCTTTTCCTTCCTTTCTTCTTTTCATCATTCATTTCCTTATTTTTTTCTTGTTCCCTTCTGACTTTGTACCTTATTTCCTTACTTTTTTCTTGTCCTACTTCATTCCTTCCTTCTTTCCAACATTCTTTTTTCTATATTTTTTCCCTTCCTTCTTCCCACCCTTCTTTCCTTTCTCCTATCTTCCTTCCTTCTACCTTTTCTTTTTTCCCTATCTCTCTTTCTCCCTTCCTTCCCTCCTTCATTGCTTCCTTCCTTCTTTGGGCTATCTTTCCTCTTGCTTCTTTTCTTTTCTTTTCCTGTTCTTCCTTCCATCCATACTTCCCTTACTTTTGCTCTCCTTTATTCTTTCCTTTCTCCTTCCCATCCTTCCTACCTTCTTTTTTCCCATCTTCACTTCTTTCTTCCCTTCCTTCGTACCTTTTTTCTATCTTTTCTTCTTTTTGCCCACATTTTCTGCTTCCCGCCCTTTCCTTTCCTATCCTTTCTTTCTTCTTTTCCTTATTCCTTTCCTCCCTTCCTTCTTTGCTTCCTTTCTCCCTTCCACCGAGTCTCATAAATACAGTAAAATATTGAATATTCATTACATAATTTTTGAAGATATAAACCAGCTTTACTTCTTCTAATGCTGAACTTTATTTTACTCGTCTGTAACAGTGAAGTACAAATTGACAGCAATTTCCTCCGTAGATATGATGACGACAAAGAAATTGTAGCCGGAGTAGTACCACGTTACGGTCGAGTTGTCGTATGGCAGAGCTCCATCCCATATCTCCCACGGCCGCCAAGTGTTGCTGTTAAAGTGGGCCAACTGTTTCTACACATTCGCTTCACCAAGAACCAAACACGATTCGTGAAGGCTCATGAAAAGTGGCTAGAAAACGAACAACAACACGAAACAATACGAAATGAGGGTTTCTTTCTAAAATCCGAAGAAGGTAGTGCTCCCATTAAATGGGAAATTAAATTGATCAGTAACTTCGGATTCTTCGGTTTGGTTTACGTTATAAAACTATTTTTGTCAACAGGGCAGTCTGGCCCCAGTTTGTCATGTGGCAAAATTAATACATTAATGCAGCAAATAAATCATTAGGATTTTACTGCCTAAGTGAAACTGAGGTTTATTCTTTGTCCAACCCGAATGTATTGGTGTCCGACCGAACTGTAGCTTTGTCTGACGTAAATCAATATGTACCCTAGTCTAGGACTACAGGCTCATATGTTAAATGGAGAATCAGAGTAATGTATAAAAAGTGAACCGGAAATGATGTTTTAATGTAATCGAGCGCGGGGAGGCGAGTGAATGGTAAAGTGGAAAACGGGCTTAATATGTCGAAGTCTTACTGCTGTTATTGGCAACCAAGTTAATTTTGGCTTTGAAATAAGTATGCATGACACAAATTATTTAATATCTTTACAATATTTACCGTTCAGAATTAATACATTGTGCTGATATTTGTGTCATTCAGACTTATTTCCGACCCAGACTGAACTGAAGGTCATCGGACATCATCATACACATGTCCGATCCAAGCTCAAAGTCATCGGACATTTTGTCAGACGGATTTGTAAAAGATATTTTGAGGCCTGAGAATACTCTAGCATAAATGTCGAGCCCTGGATGTCTACAAAGTTAGGAATTGTAATTAAGAGGGGGATAATGGTGTATTTTCGTGCTGCGTATTGGGGTAATTTAATTATTCGTTCTTCGTTCAGTCATCTTTTTATTAAACGTTTTTCGATCCCGACATGGATGCCGTGTATCGTGCTTGCGGTGTATTCAATATCCGTTCTCCGTTTTCAGCTGTATTTAAAGACGGTTATTTCTCGTTTCTGGACAATATATTCCATTAATTTTGTTTCTGGATTTTAGCTATGTTTCGATTGGGGAACGGAGGTTTCAAAGTTTATATAAATCATGAACATCGACGCAATTGTAAACAAATAGGTGAACACACCGCCTAGTACAGACTGTTTATATTCACCTTTAAGACTTCTAAGTATGATTGTTGCTTACATTTCATGTTCACTTTACATTTCAGATTCGTAATAAAATTTATTTTACGTGCTTCAGGACTTCCTTCTTTTATTTTTCATGCTTCAAGATCGCTACATATTATTTTTCGTGCTTCAGGATCGGTACCCCCCCATTACCCCCCTCAATTAAGGTTAAGGTTAAATTAAGGATTTCAGAACTGTACTTAAATTTGCATGATTTCGCCTTCGGTGTTCACATGGGATGGATGAAACCCTGTAGGAGTACATTCCCCAGCCCGTAATAAATTTGCTGTATTTATAACATTTTAATTTTAGGTCAGGAACATAAAGAGCAGAATAACGTTGAAACTAAGGTAGTTTCAGAAGCGAAATCGAAAGAGGGCAAAAAAATTGTAGTGTTTGATGATTTGTTCACGAGAGATGTGTTAGACAACCTCCGAAGTGTGATTTTGAACTATGGTGTATATTTTTATGACGATAGTTATGAGGTGGAAAGCGATAATGTCCAATGGATAGCAGCGTTCGATGTGGATAAATATGTACAGAGCAAGATGTGGGGGATTACTAGCGATGTAAGTATGTCTCGTGCAGTGAGCTATTCGTAACACTTATAATGATATGCGAAAGTTAAATGTAGGGAAAATATCCATAAACACGGCATTTAGGCACCGCGCACTTTCTCCAGCGAATAATCAGTTCGTAAGCGGCCGTTCCTCTCCGGCCTTCATGATTCTCGTGGGTCGTACAAAACCTCTACTCCTATGTGGACAACAGCTCCCCTTACTGTCGTTCCAATTGAAGTGTTGCTGAAATATTGATTCAATACATTACCTCGGGCTGACCAATTCATTTCATCAAGTTCCTCGAGATATTCATACACTTCCTAGTATAATTGTAAACTTCCTGTTGAATAGTTTGAATGCACCAATCACCTTTGTTGTTTGTGCAACTAACCAATCATAAATAGAAAGGAAGTGACCAGAAATGATCAAATTCTTGGAATTGGCTCTTTCACAGGAAGTGTATGAATATCTCGAGGAACTTGATCAAATGAATTGGTCAGCTCGAGGTAATGTATTGAATCAATATTTGAGCAACACTTCAATTGGAACGACAGTAATTAAGCCCTCTAATTAAACCTTATTTCCTTAGGTTGCTAAATTTGTCTCGGGTGGAAATTCTGAATGGTTTCCATACGACGTCTCTTGTAACTTGATCCGTAATGCGGACACAACGCAAATACACCATGACTGTGCACGCGATGAAGATGAGTGGACGTTTTTGCTGTATCTGAATCCAGAGTGGAGCATTAATGATTATGGCGAGACAGTATTTTATGAGAAGAATGATGATAATACGGAGATCATTACTGAAGTTTTGCCGAAGTATGGTCGAGTTGTGATCTTTCAAGGTATGGCTACTTTTCTCTCCCTTCCTTGCCTTGTTAAATTCATTTTTGTTTCTGTCCTTCCTCGTTTTTATCTTTCCGTCCGTCCGTCCGTCCTTCCCTCCCTCCCCTCCCCTCCCCTCCCTCCCTCCCTCCCTCCCTCCCTTCCTTCCTTCCTTCCTTCCTTCCTTCCTTCCACTTTTCATTTCCCCTTCCTTCCTTTCCCCTCCCTTCCTAACTTTTTTTTCCAAATGTATCGCGTTTCACTCATATTGGGTTTCCCAATTTACGTTTAACGGACAAAACTTTTTTTTCTGGCTAACACCCTGCTTTACTACTTCAGGAATGATTCCGCACTCGGCTCGCCCCCCGAGCAGGAACTTCACAGGCGCGAGGTTGTCGTTTGCTGTCAAGTTATCCTCAAACGAATGGGAAGGTAGGGCAAAAGCATCTCAAGAAGAATTAAGACATTTAACTGGTGCTTTGTCTATGTTACATCTTGTAAAACAACGATATTTGGATGAAATTGGGGAAGGTGAAGAAGGTATGTCATTTTCGTTCCTACAGTTTGCATAGCTGACTTTATTTATTTTCTTTTATACAGTACATGTTCTGTTTATAGTGCAATGGCTGATCAGAATTTCTCTTTCCAGGCGTGACAATGGAAGTATTCCTAAAATATTCTACCAGTTCATTTGCTCACAGTAATTAATTAATTTGAGACGTTTGATCAATTATCCGCAACTTCCTGTATTTGATAATTTCTGGTCACTTTCTGATTGGTCAATTGCATCTAGACCGCGAGCAGTCCCTTGGGAGAAAGGAGAGACTGCCGACAACACATCCGGAAACGAAATGCGCGTTGCCCACACAACGCGAAATTCCCATTGGTCGAAATCGATGTGCCTGTCAATCAAATCTGATATGTAGTAATTATGCTATAAATAATTTCCAGACTGAATGTTGATTTTATAAATAAACATGACATTAGCGGTTCCTATTGGATATATTTAATTGGATATAAGTAATGTTCATACAAAGGCGGAGCCAACTTGACAAAAGCGAAAAGTGGGCTAGTGATGGGCGATACCAGCTTTTTATACTATACCAATACGATACCAGTCCGATACCATGAATTTTGGTCGATACCGATACCAAAATCGATACCGATACTAATTTTTTCCCATTTATTAAAATAACTTTTAAAACAAGAACATTAATGTTTAAAACAAGTCGAAGAATACTCTAACTGGAGTACCTGCCAAATAATCGAACATAACATTTGCAATTATGATTTTAAATCTAAACACCAATGTTTTCCTCAAATATATTGCTAATTAGCTATATGTTTTTGTTTAAGAACAGCATCATGTCAACATTTTTTGCCTTCAGGGGCCTTCAGTCTGTTGCCTTCATGAAGTATTAAGCGATTGGTCAGGAATACTGACCAAAAACATCGCAGGCTCAAGTGGTATCGAATTACCGATACCTTTTGCGAGTATCGAAAGTATCGATACTTTTGTAAGTATCGATGATTTCGATACTTTTTCGATAGTATTGCCCATCACTAAAGTAGGCATATTTCGTTTCTTGATGCGTTGTCGGCAGTCACTCCATTCCCCTCGCACGCCCGGGAAGCTAAACCCATGGAAAGGAGGGACCGCTCGCAGTCTAATTGCATCAAAACCAAAGGTGGTTGGTACATTCAACGGGAGGTTATCAAATTTTCAAATCGCTGATCGAATAACTGATCACGGCCGCCCTTGAAGAGCGCTCTAGTTAAAAAAAGTTTTAAAAACTACACCACTTTTCTCTTCTAACGTTATCTTGTAGAATCAGAAGACGAAGATTTCGAGCCAGCATTCAATGATAACAAGTTGAAGGAAATGGAAGAACGACTAGAAAGATTGGCCAGTGAAGGAAGTGATATCGAAAAACTGCGAAATTTTTTCAAAGAAGTCAGAACCTCCCATCTGGGAACACGACAAGAAATCGGAGATCTTATAAAACAGTTGTTATAATTTGACGCCCTATAGCTGGGTTTCAGTCACGTGATACGTTTAACGCTTGGTGGTCAACTCCAAATGGAAACGCATTTATCGGATCGACTTAAATATTCATTTTAAAGGCTTATTTACACTTGCAATTTTTGCTACGACTTCTAGTGCGATTTTCGTCTTCTGATGCATGTGAATGAGTAGTATACAAATAATGAATGTTTATGAGTGCAATGGTAAGAATATTTTCATGAGGTGAAAGTTGGAATGTTCCATTAAACGAGGCGACAGCCGAGTTGAATGGAACATTCCATCTTTCACCGAATGAAAATATTCTTACCATTGCACGAAAAAACATTCATTATTTGTTTTATATAATACCAAAATAGACTAATAGATTCGTATGGGAAGCATTTTGAGGGATGCGATTTATCGAAAACACAAAGAGTGCAATTGTACTATACGTTTTATTCCATTGCACTCGCAGAGAGTGCAATGGAACGTATTCCATTGCACTCTTGGGAAATGGAATTTTCTATTCAATTCACGTGACCATAAACAGCCAATTAAACGATCAGAATTCAATAAGGTATTATATAAAAAAATATATATATTATGTACTATTTAAAGCATGCGTAGGAGTGTTTTATCACATACAAGTGCTTTAAATAGCTTCAAAAACGACTCATCTTATGCGAGTTCATTGGCGAAGTAATTTTTAAAATAAACTTTGTCTATACCGAGAAAATCAAAGCTAAAGTTTATGTTAACATGATTTTTTATCACATATAAAACCGCGACACGCTTATGATTTTTCTTTGTGTTTTCCTCCTGAATTATTAATGAGTTTTTGAAATATATTTAATCAACAACAAAATACCATTTTTGGTATATTAAGATACATACATAAAAAATCTACCACTACATTACATACAAAAATATAACAATTTTACTAATAACCTAATTTAAACTTTCAAAAACTACCGTAACAGTAAAATGTCGTCTCGTAAAATGTCATATAACAGTATTTGGCAACCAAGTTCATAATTGTCTTGTCTTAAATAGCCATATATAATATATCTAAAAATATCTTGTTGAGTGAACAAACAGAAAGAACGATTTATTTTCCATAAATTATTTATAAAAATATTTCTAAGACTAATAAATTTAGAATTTCTGCATGACATTAGAAAGTGGTATTCATTTCCAATCTCATTTATGTCACAATGTTTACATAGCCTATCATTGTATGGAACATTGTTATATCGACCAGTTGGTATATGTACCTCATCTGAAGACAATCTCGTTCCCCGAGCCTGCGATCCTCGGGAAGGAACGTGAGGCTCTGGGATAATCCGTTTCAGGGAGGAATCTGATTGGCCGTTGAAATGAATGCGTAGTTCAATCTTAGCCAGGATTCATGGCTTCCGGCAACGGATTATCCCAGAGCCTCGCGTTCCTTCCCGAAGATCGCAGGCTCGGGGAACGAGATTGATCTGAAGAGTAAACCATTTCCCGAGTCAAATCCGAGTCAGTCCCGAGCCCGAGTCAAACGCCCGAGTCGCGTAAAAAAAGACGAAAGTGAAGAAAATTCACAGTCGAATAGGGTTAGGAGTAGGTTTAGGTTTAGGGTACGAAGTCATTTTACCGACAAAGACAGTTAAACAGTGACTCGGACATTTGACTCGAACTCGGATTTGAGTCGGTCAGTAACCGACAAACTCCAAAATTGAATAAAAGTCACAGTTGAATAGGGTTAGGGTAAGTTAGGAGTGGGATTATGGTTAGGATTAGGGTACTACGTCATTGAACTGCAAAGACCATCGATTAAACAATGACTCGGACATTTGACTCGGGCTCGGATTTGACTCGGACTCGGATTTGACTCGGTTAACCGACAAACTCCTCATCTGAACATTCATAACTTATCCACTCGTTCACACCCATCTGAGGAAGAAAATCGCACCTAAAATCGCAAGTGTAAACAAGCCTTAAACGAGCAAGTATTGATCTTGTGTTTGGTATCAAATATAATATGCAATTTCACGGAATTTACTTGCGTACACAAGGCATAAAGCGGCAATATGTGTAAAATTGACCACCAAGCGTTTCCCTATGTATACGGCCTGAGTGAAACCCACCTATAGCTCTTCAATTTTCGCAATCTTGGCAAGTATTGTGTCGGAATTTCGAATTTTGATTTCGATTTAAAGACTAATGTTGTGATTTTATGAACTGAAAACTTGATTAGCGATACGGTCCGTTACGAAAAACTGCATTTAGCTGGGAAAATTTGTATTAAAAATGTTTACGTTCGTATGACTCTATGTCAGCAATTACTACCACAGTAGATTCATAGAAATTCTTAATTTGCACTTCGCACATTTACAATTTTTTTTACACACATTTACATTTCAACTCGGTTTCACTGAGGAAGCCGAAATATACGACAATATTTATATTTTGTATTTACATTTGTACTTATTTCTATAGAATACAACCAATATAAACATTTGTTTAGAAAAATAGAGGTGTGTACTTTGTCGTTGATGCACGTGTGATTCAATTAGTCTTCCTCACGGCCGATTTTCCCGCCATTTTGGGGTACTGCATCTGCCACGCTTGAGAGTCTCCGCACCACGAAACGCGACTTTTTAGTATTGTGGTTGCTTGTATAATGGTAAATTTACAGTTACAACTTTTGGCCTTCGTGATTTTGGCCTTCGTGAGAAAGGCTAACTGCAACGTATATCGAATTCATTTTTGTTTATCAATTCTTCGAAAAGTCTCTATCTGTGTACCCTGGATTCCAGAGCCTTCGACAGTAAATAATAAATTGAAATGTCGCGAAGGCTCTGGTTCAACGGGGCGATTCTTTGATTAAACCGCGCCAATCACAAAACAGAATTAGTGGTTTTAGTACAGAATCTGTACTAAAACCATTAATTCTGTTTTGTGATTGGCGCGGTTTAATCAAAGAATCGCCCCGTTGAACCAGAGCCTTCGCGACATTTCAATTTATTATTTACTGTCGAAGGCTCTGGAATCCAGGGTGCTATCTGTGAGTGTTCATCGTTAGGTGCAAACGACGGTACTATTTAAATAACGCCGCTGACCAATTTATCGCTGGCGCTAACCAGTGACCACAAAAATGGCCGAAATTTCTATATTGTGCTTTCTTGGTATGCAAAAGTTATGCGAGAATTTCTTCCTATTCCGGTGATGGATTTCTTTAAAAATTTGCAAAACTTTAGCCATGCTATGTATCTGCTAACCTGAACAGATCGATGTCTATAATGTGTTTGGAAGTGCGAATTTTCCGCTCTCAATATTGGCAATGTGAAAACTCTTATCGTCAACGTACAACTAGTCGACTTTCACTTTAAAAAATGTTAGAAAGTCTTGCAGCTTGGGTTTTACGGACCTATGTTGGCGAATATGTTGAGAACCTTAATACAGATCAGCTATCCATCGGTTACGGTAATAAATTTTGCTTGGATTTTTTTATAAAATGTTTGTATTTTATACATCAGTGACAGTGTCAACTTAGTGATCAAATATGTGTTAATAATTTATAATTATTTAGTATTTACTTTATTTGGGTGATTTACCGGTTCGAACTGCCTTAAGAAAAGATCGATTTGTTTGATTGATTACAACATGATTGATTTTTAAGTTAATGCATTTATTGAATTAGATTGTGCTGTAATTTAGATGTCATAAATGATGTAATTTGCATAGTGGCCAGGTTGGAAAGTTTGCAAATTGTGCAGGCAATGTCAAATTTTTGCTACCATATTGCACAGCAGGCTCAAAATATTGGGCTGAAATTCTGTGTGTCTGGGATTTAGGTGTACAATTTCAAGCTATAATTCCTATATAAGCTATATTTACCAAATATTAATAGTGAAGTGAAGCTTTCTCAAAAGTTTGTGCATGCACCTGAAAAAGGTTGAAGAATGCTTGGGAGATTAATTGGCTGCACACTACAAACTTTCCAATCTGGCACCCTAAAGGCCATGACACACCGGACGCGATTCCACAACGCGGCTTTGAATTGGCTTTTTCAAAAGTTAATAAAACAGCCAATCAAAGGAAATTTGAAAAGATATGTAGGCCAAATAATTCAAAATGTTATAGCGCTTCTAAATATTTGGAAAACTTAAACCAGGATCAAAGTTATCGGTCAGTGAAAATTGAAAAATCATGCCACATTGTCAAGAGTCCAGTCTTAAGAGTCCAGTTTGCACAGTAGGGAAAAACTAATGACAAGATCTTCTTGATGGAAATAGACAGGTATCTGGGTTTTTACAAGTGTGCATATCTATTCATGTACATTAAATTTTCAATCTCACTTGCTTGATTCTGGTTTAACCCATTGAGCCCTAATGCACCCCAGTGTGCCCTACTTATTTTTTACTTGTGTAGTGCCAGATGATTTTACTCGTCAGTGGGGAAGCTCTGTGTACAGCTGAATGGGTTAAGTGGCAATGCACTCCGATGCACCTTACTTTAGAATTTTACTCGTCAAGTGGAGAGTGCTGCCACTCAATGGGTTAAATTGCAACAAAACACTATTAATATCACTATATATTACTTCCGATCATCCACAGCAATTTTTTAAAGCTTTTTCAACATTTTGGTGTGAATATATAGTGAGGTAGCTACAAAACGTTGCACAATAACATATACTTGCCACACTGTGACTCTACAAACTGGCTCAGAAATACTATTTAGGGCAAATATACTGTATTTCATTTGTCAATGATTGAATGGTGGATGAGATGTTTACTCTTGTTTGATTCGCTTAACTTCCAATGTTAATGCACTGTTGCACTGGTAGTTTATCTGTAAAACTGCAATGCAAAGCTGAAACTGCAACTGAAAATGCTATGTTACATGTGGGGTTCCATTTTATTAATTAAAAATATATTATTGATGTCACCGAAGTCAGTTCAAACACATAAAAAAAGTCATATTGTGTTCATACCAATGTATTTTTTCCATATTTGCATATATCATTCAGTTGCATTTCATTTTCTTGAGCGCAAATCAAACCCTGGACATTGGTTAACCCATTAAGCTGCAGAGTTTCCCCATTGACAAGTAAATCATCTGGTGTTATAGACAAGTAAAAAAAAGTAGGGCGCATTGCAGCTCAATGGGTTAACTAGAGGCATTGTCAGATTTTTTGGTTCAGGCACAGATTCTCTGGGGGTGGGGGGTGCGGGGGGTTGATTTGCACACACACACCCCAGAGGCATTTGGCACCGCCCCCAAAAGTTTTTGCACCCATGCAAATTATATATATTTTGATTTGATAGTTTCATATTTGATTATTCTTACTACTAAATTTGTAAAATTACCAATATTATGGTCTCAGATCTCACCATGCAGGCCTAGAAAACAAATTTTGTTAAACTTTTTCCTTGGCCTTTCCGGGCGTTGCCACCACGCCCCGGCCAAAGCAAGCAGCAGCACCCCCCCCAGATATTTATCCACCCACCCTGTTTTGGTTAACCCATTAACCTGCAGAGCTTCCCCATTGACAAGTAAAATCGTCTGGCGTTAGACAAGTAAAAAATTAAGTAGGGCGTACTGGGGCACATTGCGACTCAATGGGTTAAATTGGTTTTTCCAGTTTATTGATAATATACTACACATGATAAACGGATCAACTCCATCAGACAAGTTATGCATATGGAAGTGTACTGTCTGTTCATGGAGATTTATATACAACTTTAATTGTAATCATCCATTTCAAATTTATAGGTACAGTTGAGCTTGAGAACCTGCCATTGAGAAAGACAGCTTTACAAGGTCTTGAGCTGCCGCTGGAAGTTAAGTCTGGATTTATTGGACGTTTGAAACTCTCCATCCCATTCCGACATCCCAAGTCCGAGCCATGGATCATTCATATTGATAAATTATATCTAATCGCTGGACCCTTATCACACTATCAGGTACAAATTAATACGTTTTTTTGGAAGAATATTCGATGTGCTGTAGAAAACAACTTCTACTAAATCTCAGGTTTCCCTGTAGGTCTCCAGGTTTCCCTGTAAGTCTCCAGGTTTCCCTGTAAATCTCCAGGTTTCCCTGTAAGTCTCCAGGTTTCCCTGTAAGTCTCCAGGTTTCCCCGTAAGTCTCCAGGTTTCCCTGTAAGTCTCCAGGTTTCCCCGTAAGTCTCCAGGTTTCCCCACAAGTCTCCAGGTTTCCCCGTAAGTCTCCAGGTTTCCCTGTAAGTCTCCAGGTTTCCCTGTAAATCTCCAGGTTTCCCTGTAAATCTCCATGTTTCCCTGTAAGTCTCCTGAGGTTTCCCTGTAAGTCTCCAGGTTTCCCTGTAAATCTCCAGGTTTCCCTGTAAGTCTCCATGTTTCCCTGTAAGTCTCCAGGTTTCCCTGTAAGTCTCTAGTTTTCCCTGTATAAGTCTCCAGGTTTCCCTGTAAGTCTCCAGGTTTCGGTGCTGAAGTCCAGCTCTCAAAGCCGGCAAACTTACAAATCTCACAATATTTCAGGGAAATATTTTCATTGAATAAGATCAAGATCTGCCAGATAGCCTTGATTAACCTTTTTGACCTGCAACAGTGCAACTCTCTCCCTTATGAAGTAAAATAATCCATGTTTAGGCTTGAGTACAGTCAAAGCATGGTCTTTAGGGTTGAGTATTGATACCCTAGATCCTTTGAAAATTTGCATCTTTACCTAACAAAGGCAGGTTATACCTGACTAACAGATTAATCCATTAAGCTGCAGAGCTTACTGTACTCAGCTTACCTGGATTGATGAGTAAAATCGTCTGGCGTTAGACAAGTGAAAAAAAGTATGGCACACTGGGCTGACTGGAGTGCATTGTGGCTCAATGGGTTAACTAGAGACATTGTCAGATTTTTTGGTTAACCCATGAAGCTGCAGAGCCGTTGACGAGTAAAATTGTCTGGCATTAGACAAGTAAAAAAAAAGTAGGGCACACTGGGGTGCATTGCTGTGGCTCAATGGGTTAAATTGAACAATTTTATCATCAACACAGAAAAAAAAATTATCATGTTTCATACAGTCTAATGCAGACAATTTGGCTTAAAAAATTTATGAAGTCACTCCCACTATCTGACGACGCTCGATCTATGCCTCAATTTAGTCATTTTCTCTTCCAGTACGATGAAGAACAGGAGAAGAAAAGAGAACGTGAAAGAAAACAGAAACAGCTTGATGGCCTTGAAATGCAATGGCAGGTACAGAACTACAGTATACAGTTTTGTCAGTGTTAATCTAGCCTCATATCAGTTAATCCAGGGTGGTTTATGACTGTTTGTCTGATCATGTTATATGGCATGTGATATCCTTATCTATATCATAAAATAATTTTGTCTTTTTTCAGTTTGGTCGCTCAAAAGAGAATGCGAGTGAGTCTTGGTGGACGTCGCTCTATTCTTCTTTATCTACCACAATTATGGAAAACCTACAGGTATAATTTGAATATATTGACATGAGGAGTTTTATAATTGGTTTCTTATCGAATATTAGCTTTATGCTTTTGTGCCACCCATATGAA